TGAACTTACTGAACTTACTGTTTATGGGAAAAAAAAAACTTAATAAAACTACAGTGAAGAAGGGACTGAGACTGTTCAAACTGTTCAAAAGTCTGTGGTTGGTAATAGGGGTGCGCATTTTACTTTCACTTTCAAATTAGTGGCAATTCGGCGTCAATTGCTTGAATGCAACAACAAAATACAACGTCAAACTCACTTTAGCCTATATATAAAACAGAACTTTTATTAACAAAACAAATAAAAATACACCATGCTATAGGGCAGGCTATGCCTAATATAAAAGAACAAATAACTTACATAGTTAAAATAGGTAGCCTATACAAAACTGGAAATAAGTAGGCCTAAGCATGTATAATATATAACCAAATAAATAAGAAATGTAGAAAGTTTATTAGCAAAACGAATAAGAAAGCTTGGAGGCACGGCATACACCTTGATGACAAATAAAATAAATAAATTACACAAAGTTTAAATAAAGTAACTATAAAAAAAATCTAAATGATGGTGGGGGTCGGTGCCGTGGTGGACAAGTGACGTAACCGGTGTTGCGGCTTAATAACAGTATCACCGTCAGCACCGTCTATCGCGGCAAGCCTAGTTGGTAAGATGTTTTTGAAAGGATTCTTTTATGTCTGCCAACTATGTTCTGTTTTAATATTTATTAGAATGATATTTGCAATATCATTCTAATATGCTGATTTTGCTGTTTTAGAAACATAATTGAACGGTTTAAAAAGTTGTGCTGCTTAAACTTTTTGTGGAAATCATGATAATATTTGAATTTCTTTGATGAATAGAAGGTATAAAAACAGCATTTATAAATTATACATTTCTTTACTGTCACTTTTGATCAGTTCAATGCATTCTTGCTGAATAAAAGTATTAATTTCTTAAAAGAAATCTTTTAAGCTTTTGAACGATAGGCTTTTGAACGATAGGGTATATGGAGACCGAAATGTCATAGAAACATGAAGGTGGGCCTTTTTTTTTGGGATTTGTGCCATCAACATCTGGGTCAAAGAATGAAGCCAACATGGTTGATGTAGTATGTCCAGAAATGTGTTAAAACGTATAATTCATTAAATTCAGTGCATGATCTGAAAGTATAAAAAATTGGAAGCCTTGGTGGTGTTTTGATGGTTTGTTCTCTGAAGGTGGGGCAGGAATGCCACCAGTGTTTTTATTTCGCATGTGGTGCATTTGTCTAAACATCTTAAATCGCGATGACATTGTTCGATGTCTTGTCACCAATACATATTAGTGCTATTAAAAGAGTGACTTCTTCATTGAAATGGTTGCATGTTCTGCTTAACAGTTATGACAGATGGGTTTTGGTTTCTTTCCTGTGCAATGTGCGTTTCTTCTTTTGAATCATCCTCTTTTAAACCTTTCAGTCATCCTCTGATGACGATTCTGGCAGCACTGTGTCCCAAAGTCGACGTGGGAGAAGGGATAGTGTGGTGAGCCAGAATAGAAACTATGACCGCATATCTAGTGTTCAGACAACACAACCACATATTCTATTTTCATCAAAGCAGTAATATATAATAAAAACATTTCCACTTTAGCTTCTTATTTTTTCGCTTTCCCATGTTCTTGTCTGTCTATGTGTAGTTGTCTGATTTCTCTGATATCTCTGAGACGGCTGCTGATTATTTCAGCCGCTCTAATCGCAGGGGCAGCATTGTCTCTGATCTTGATGATCTGAGCATCCCAGACCTGGACAGTGTAAGTCAAGAGTCAAGACATGCATGAAGTATTAACCGATGTGACACATTCACTAAAGAGCACTGACTTGAAGGGAAGGGATAGTTCAGTTATTAAAGTTGGTTTACTCTGCATGGCTTGATACTGTGTAAAAATTGCAGTAAAGTTGACTCTACTGGACTTTGTTTAATGACTGCTTTCAGGAAGGTATACATATATTATTCCTGTATAAATGCATCTAACTGTTGCGTGTGTATCTCCTTTGGTTGGTCAACATTTGTTTTCAAAATAGAGAGTTTTGGTCTGGCTGGCTGGAGCACTGATACTGATGATTTCTGGTTAAATTGTATGAGTTACGTGGCAAGATGTGTGCCTAAAACATGCTACAGCAAGTAACATCCCACTAATTTGTTTTCTTTTTGTCTGACTTTAAGATGAAGGCAAAACCCAGTTAATGGCCTTTCAACTTGCAACAAGTATATATTTATAAAAGTAACCAAAGAGACGTATGGTGTTTTCTTCTTTTTCAGCTCGATGAGAAATGTGACAAGCAGTTTACAGACACCTACAGCCGGGTAAGAGGAAGAGAGGTCATTTTCCACTTCCCTGTGTTGTGATATTTGACACTAAATTAAGAACCAAGTTAATGTTTCTCTTCTCATTAGGGGAAAGTTAGTCTGTATTTGGATAATTGTTTTCAGTCAATGTTTAAGTAAAATTTCCAGATATCTAGAGCAGGCTTAAGTGATTTATGTTGTTGTTGTCATCATTAAATACACTACTATTTAAAAGTTTGGGGACAGTAAGGATACATTTAATAAAAGGATACATTCAGGAAAGATACATTAAATGAATCAAAAGTGTCATTAAGGTTACAAAATATTATATTCCAATTAAATGTTGTTTTTTGAACTTACTATTCATCAAAGAATCCACAAAAAAATATTAAACAGCGCAGCTTTTTTCAACATTGATAATAATTAGAAATGTTTCTTGATTAGCATATTAGAATGATTTCTAAAGGATCATGTGACACTGAATAATAGAGTAATGGCTGCTGAAAATTCAGCTTTGCTTCACAGAAACAAATTAAATGTTAAAAATAAATGTTATTATTATTGTTATATTAAATTGTAATAATATCACAATATTACTGTTTTTACTATATTTTTGATCAGATAAATGCAGTATTGGTGAGCATAAGAGACTTCTTTCAAAAACTTCAAAAAGAAATCTTACCGACCCAAGTATCAATCATTAAAACTCTTGGTGATGCACAGTGGCCCCAACAGTATTTGGATACTTCAGTCACATTTGGTAATAATAAAATATCTAACCATGTTTCATCTGCAAATTTGCTACATTTTCTCAGAACCTAATTTTTTGCGAATAAAATTAACCAACCTGTGTTAAGGTTGTTGAATAATTTTTTGATTCATTGTTTATGGGTGTTTTGTGCTCTCATTTCCTCCAGCCGTCCTCTCGATGTACCACCCCGGCGCTCTCCGCAGCTGCCCTGGCATCTCTGGGAGGCAGCAGTTCTAGAAGGGGCAGCGGAGATGCTGGAAGCATCATTATGGATGCAGAAGCTTCTATCGGCGAGTTAAAGGTAATTTTGTTGTTTATTTGCATTGCACAAACTGTAATACAGATTTCTCAGGTATTTTTTGAAACAAGATGAATATACCTGCCTTTAAAAATATTTTGGCTGAGCATAGAGCATCATACTTTCCTACTGAATGCATCTGATCTCAGGGAATCCACTTGTGTTCATTTCACAGTTTTATTTGTGTTTGTTAATGCTTTCGTTTCTTTCCTCTTTATCTTTGAATGCCTTTGGGAAGCTATCTCCCTCTTTGTGTTTGTATGAATGTACAATCAGAGGTCACCGCTCTGACCTTCAGTGAATGCCAAACCTTTCCCATGATTCATTCCTCCATCTCAACAGGACATCTATGATCTAAAGGACCAGATTCAGGATGTAGAGGGCCGATACATGCAGGGTCTTAAAGAGTTGAAGGTAGAGGGTCCTGAGCTCAACGCACGCCTTCCCTCATTCTGCACTAACACACCAGGCTCTTCACACTTCTTAGTCTGAAAGCATGAGCCTTGCATGAGTCTTTCACTTAGTACATTAGCTCTTTACAGTCACGTTTAGCCCACAGTCATGTTGCATGAAGACTTAATTGCTCCAAAGAGCCAAAATCACATGGAAGGCTTCTGCTTCACTCCCAACTGCTGTTAAAGGATTAGTTCACTTCCAGAATAAAAATTTCCTAATCATTTACTCACCCCCATGTCATCCAAGATGTTCATGTTTTTCTGTCTTCAGTCACAAAGACATTAAGGTTTTTGAGGAAAACATTCCAGGATTTTTCTCCATATAATGGACTTAAGTGGTGGCCAACAGGCTGAAGGTCCAAATTGCCGTTTCATTGCAGCTTCAAAGGGCTTTACATGATCCCAACCGAGGAATAGGGGTCTTAACTAGCGAAACGATGTCATTTTCAAAAAAAATAAAATAAAATTTATATACTTTTTAACCACAAATGCACGTCTTGCACTAGCTCCATGATGCACGTCTGCAAATTCGCGCATTACATAATCACATTGGAAAGGTCAAGTGCGATTAGCTCTTCATCTGTGTACTCCGGTTCAGAAAGGTAGAGTAGGCTGAAAAACTCCATCTCATTTTCTCCTCCAACTTCAAAATCATCCGACATCGTTGTTTTACCTTTTTTTGTAAAGGGCATTTGACTTTCTTTGCACGTTCGCTTTGTAAACACTGGGTAGGTACTTCCGCCTACATCACGCATGACCTTTCCAACGTGACTACGTAATGCGTGAAGTCGAGCTAGTGCAAGATGAGCAGTTGTGGTTGAAAAGTATATACATTTTTATTTTTCTAAGAAAATGACAGATCGTTTTGCTAGATAAGACCCCTATTCCTCAGCTGGGACCGTGTAGAGCCTTTTGAAGCTGCATTGAAACTGCAATTTGGACCTTCAGCCCGTTGGCCACCATTGAAGTCCATTATATGGAGAAAAATCCTGGAATGTTTTCCTCAAAAACCTAAATTTCTGTGCGACTGAAGAAAGAAAGACGAACATCTTGGATGACATGGGGGTGAGTAAATTATCAGGAAATTTTTATTCTGGAAGTGAACTAATCCTTTAATAAAGAAGATGGACAAGGATGCAGACTGCACACATTTAATCAGCTGTAGCTGTGTAAAGAATTTCAGTGTTTGTCCAGTTCACATTTGGAAGTTGGAGACCCTGCTTTGAATATCCTGATATCAGTGAGACTGTGAAGGAACTGTACATGAACAGACAAGGGTTAATGTGACATAGACATAAATGTTCCTTCTTATATCTAATGTCATATATTATTCAGTGTTAAAGTCAACATGAAATGCTGCAAACAACCTATTTAGGGACTTTATCTATTGAGAATTGATTGGATTGTTAAAAAGTTGGCATTACATATACTACTGTTCAAAAGTTGGGGATTAGTAACATTTCTGAAGGATCATGTGACACTAAAGACTGGATTAATGGCTGCTGAAAACTCTTTGCCATCACAGGAATAGATTAGAAATAGATTCAAATAGAAAACAATTATTTTATTACAGTTTTTTTCTGTATTTTTGATCAACTGAATGTAGTCTTGGTGAGCATTATAGCATAAACAAATCTTTAACGACCCTAAACCTTTGAACAGTAGTTTACCTGGATGGGACAAGTGATTGGAGGGAAGGAGCCGATAAGAGAAAGTCATTTCAGAGGTGGAGCAAGTTATTACCTTTTTAGGACAAGTTACAAAGAAATGTGGACAGTAAGACCAGGAACATGCATTTAGTAAGTAAATGGGACCATTTTGATTTCATGTTGACTTTAAAATTTCTATCTGACTTTATTTATAATGTTTTGTATTACACTTTCACTTTTTCAATTTTTACCTGTACATCACATTTTGATCTAATCTTCAGTGCAGTGGTCAGTGTGTGCTTTATTTGCCTGTCATTACATTTTGTAGTGGTTTTGTAGCATGTAAAGCTATTCAAGTACTTTTGTGTGAAGAATTTTTCTCCCTTTGATCAGGATTCTCTGTCGGAAGTGGAGGAGAAGTACAAGAAAGCCATGGTATCCAACGCCCAGCTAGACAACGAAAAGGCAAACCTCATCTACCAAGTGGACACACTCAAAGACGTCATCGAGGAGATGGAAGAGCAAATGTCAGAGCTGCACAGGGAAACGGAGGAGAAATCAAAGGTGCTTATAATAAATTATTATTTTCTTGAAAACTGTTTTGATTAATCTGACAAAAAAAAAAACATTGTATGGTCCAGCTGTCTTATTGCCACAATGCACAGACCCAGCAGATCGTGAATGCCATGTATTGTCAGCAGTTCGTTTCTGATACATTTATTAGATGTTGGAACCCTATTCAGAAGCTTTGGCAGATTATGATGTGAGTGTATTTTTCTTTTGATTGACAGGAGTTAGAGCGGCAGAAGCACACATGTTCAGTCCAACAGCACAAACTAGAGGACATGAAGGAGGGAATTCGTCAGCGAGATGAACTTATCGAGGTAGAACCCAGAACAGAAATGGTTTATCAACCACAAATTAATTTGAAGACATTAGAAACATTTGCAATAGACGCAATGTTTTAAAAGCTTTTGCAGAATAATCAATTACAGATGATTTGAAGTCTTTGAGTGAAAGTGTGCTTTATGTTCTTCGTGGTTGAAATGGGAAGGTTCAGAGTCTATATCATTCACTTTCCCCCATTGAGATCCTCTTGTTTTCTTCCTTCATATGTTCTGTCTCATCGCTTCTTTGTTGTGTCTATTTTGAATCTGTCCTTTTTCCCCTTCTCTGCTTTATTAAACACATCCCCAGGAGAACCAGAAAATTCAGCAAAAGCTAGATAACCTCACGAGAGAGGCATTTGACCTGCAGGAAACTGTTAACTGGAAGGACAAAAAGATTGCGGTAGGACGGTTTAGGAGATGCTGCTTGGATTGACGGCGAAAGACTGATCAAATTAACTTTTTATTCATCTCTTAGCCATCTATTAACTTTAGTTTTGCCAGGTAGCCTTATTCATATATGTATATAGCAGTGATCCTCAAATCTGGCTCGTGAGATCCACTTTTCTGCAGAGTTTAGCTCCAACCCTATAATCAAACAAACCTACCTGTGATTTTCCAATGATCTTGAAGACATTGATTAGCAAACTCAGGTGTGTTTGATTAGGGTAGAGCTAAACTCTGCAGGAAAGTGGATCTCGCGAGCCAGATTTGAGGATCACTGGTATATAGTATCATCATTTTTACAAAGGATTGATGTGTGGCTAATGCATGTAAAAAATTTAGACATCTGGATCTTTTTCATAAAAACGAAAATATATTTGCATCAATTTTTGTTTGAATGGATTTATGCACAATGTATGAAGAAAAAAAAAGTTGTAAATGCACAGTGCTGCTCTCTGCTGGTATCCCATGAGCCTCAGCTGTGTACACCAGAAGTGCTGGGTACCACACAATAGTTTTCAAAATTGAAGATACATAGTGCATGAAAATATATTACATCCAGAAGATTGATTAGTTTTACTTTTGGTATACTCACTTCTGCATGAACATCCATGAATCGCTCAAGAAGATTGAAAGAAAATAACTATACAGAGCTATATAACTAATAACATCATTCCTTCACTTCCTGCACTGTTCATCTGTCAGCATGGTCTATTTTCATCCTGCCATCTGTGACTAAAGCTAAGGCTGGGCAATATATGAAATATTTGTGATGGTCAGTATCATTCTTATTGAAAGCTGTCGAAAACATGGCTTGAGATGGCTTCAAAAAAAGTTAAATTCAACGCAAACTGTAATACTGTATAAGATTTTTATTCAAACTGAATAGATAAATAAATCTAGGCTACCCGCTGCCGTTTTCAAAGCACAATGCAAAACTGACATTTCATTCACTGATGGCTTCAGTGCTAAAACCGGAAGCGCATATACTTACTTGCCGGCAACCCGCCAAAATAAAAGCCTGCTGATTTTAAGTTTGAAAATGATGAAAATTAATCAAAGTAAATATTAGCATTTTATTTTTAAGTTTACTATAAAATAGTTGTATTTGTATTTAATACTCCCATTTATTTTAAAATATAATAGTATTATCACACTTTATTATTTAGTTTATTATTTTATAAAAATAAAAAAAAACTAAATAAAGTGCAACAATATTATCACTACGATTAATTTATTTTTTTGTAGTTGTATTTAATGGGCTACACTATGTGCAGTGTGAGGACCAAACCAAATCTCCAGGTTCTCTCATGAGAACCAGGCTGAAAAACGTATGTGTGCCCCTGTGTGTATATATATATAATTTATTTATTTATTTTTAAACCTATATTGCCCAGCCCAAACTGAAGGCCGTGTTCATTGTGTTTTCTGCTGTCTCTTTGTCTACTTTTCTCTTTACTCCTCTCTCTTTTCCTGCCCTTCGTTTGGCCAGGCGTTAGAGAGACAGAAAGAATACTTTGATTGCATTAGGAATGAGAGAGATGAGCTCAGGGATGAGCTGGCTGACCTCAAGGGGAAAAGCCGAATGGGAGAGGTACGTCCTTTAAGTGCTCCTGCACAGGATGAAAGCTTGCCATCAGCACTGTATAACAACAATAAACAGATCGTTTGAATGGAAAGTTTTTGGCTTGCTGCCTATATATATGTTTTCTCTGCATTTTACTGGCCATGTAAACACTGAACTTTTGAGTGTGACATTACAATAGTTTTAATTAATTTGAGCTACTTTATCTGAGCTGATTTATTGACTATTTTCTTGCGTTGCCTGCCGTCTTGGATCTTTGTTTTCCTCATTGAGCCCATCACAGTGCATTTTGGGATGGCGTTCTCTTTGAAGGAAACATGCAGAAGGCATCTATGCCTTCTATGTCAGAATCGCAACTATGCTATTGTTTCAGGATGTTTTGAGTTGTCACTCAAAATTTATGTGTCCAAAAGAGGAGTGACAACTGTACTGCAGTGTGTATGTGGCCAGTGTCCATTAAAAAGACTTTTATACTTTAATTTATTGTGACCCTTCTTCTCTGGCAGAAACACGGGCTGGTCATCATACCCGAGGATATGCCCAACGGAGACGTCAGCCACGAGTCCCCTACCTCAGGCATCACTGTGGTCACACAAGAGGCAGCGCAGGTGCTGGAGTCAGCGGGAGACGGACCTTTGGGTGAGTCTCCAAATACACTGTCAAGCTTATATATATATATATATATATATATATATATATAAGGATGAAACAATGGCATAATGCTTGTTTTCTGTGCTCATACCCCAGATGTAAGACTACGAAAGCTTGTGGATGAAAAGGATGAACTTTTGTCCCAGGTATGATTGTACATGAACTTCATGAAGTGAATCAAAATGGATTATTGGCATAGATGAGTTGAAGTGACACATATGTGCTCTTTTAGATCAGAAAACTAAAGATGCAGCTGGAGGAAGAAAGACAAAAACACTTAAAGATCGACAGTGTTTACACAGAAGGAGAGCGAATGGAGAACGGCACTGACCTGCATTTCATCGAGATGCAGAGTATGACCTGTGAAACATGCTACGCACACACTGAAGTCTCCATTAAAGGGATAGTTCACCCAAAAATGAAAATTTGATGTTTATCTGCTTACCCCCAGGGCATCCAAGATGTAGGCGACTTTGTTTCTTCAGTATGTCTTTGGGCGCGCGCACGCCATCCGGTGCGTGAGGTGTGTACGCGCTCTGGCGCAGTTTACGCAAGCGCCGGAAGTGGTTACCATTGCCATGCATTATACGACTGATAGACTGCGGTTAAAGTTAAAAATCATCATATGTGTTCTACTGAAGAAACAAAGTCACCTACATCTTGGATGCCCTGGGGGTAAGCAGATAAACATCATATTTTCATTTTTGGGTGAACTATCCCTTTAACATCCTTCACATTTACCTTCACATGTACCATGCTGTAATACTGTCTGTTTCCTGTAGGGGACGCCAATAGACAGATAAGTGAATACAAATTCAAGCTTTCAAAGACTGAACAGGAAATGGCAACGATGGAACAAAATGTGAGTTTATAATTAGAACATTATAAAGTTATTATAGAAAGTAGATACCCTAGAAAGTATAACCTATATAACAATAGTATATAACAGTAGTATAACATGTAACAGAAATATTATTGATGTATAATTTGCACAGAAAAATGAAGCCTATTTAGGACCAATAAGATTTTTTAGGGTTGTGACAGTTTTAAAGCAATGACAATTTTTTCATGTCCATGTTTTTCCACTTTTTTAGTTTATAAAGAAAGAAGTCTGTTTGATCACCAAGGCTGCATTTATTTGAACTAAATACAATAAAACACAATTGAAAATATATATTTTTTTATTAGAATATATTTTAAAATAAAGTAATTTAGTCCTGTGGTGGTAAAGCTGAATTTTCAGCATCATTACTCCAGTCTTCAGTGTCACATGATCCTTCAGAAATCTTTCAAAAATTCTGATTTGCTGTTCAAGAAACATTACATAAAGCTGCTCAATATTTTTGGTGAAAACTGTGATGCATTTTTTTTTTCAGGATTGTTTGATGAATAGAAAGTTAAAAAAAAAAAAAAAAGGTTTATTTAAAATAGACATTTTTGTAACAACGTAATACTGCCACTTTTGACCAGTTTAATGCATCTTTGTGTGTGTTTATATATTAGTTTTTTGTGCAATTCCCATTATTTTCAGTGGTGATTCACATTTTATTACCTCTTACTGAGAATTTTAAAAAATCTAAAATTATTTTTTTAAATAAAAGTCAAATTGTATTTGTAAGAGGCAATTTATACATTTAAAATATTAATTTATAAATTAAAAATATGAATCACTAATTAAATACAATTATTTTTAAATATTGCCACTTTTTGATTGATTGATTGATTTTTTTATAAATAATTGTTGTTAATGTTAAAAAATTATTGAATATTAGCATAACTGTTGTATTTTTTTGTACGTGTCTTTCAGGTAAATAGACTTGAAGGACAGGTGTCCAGATATAAATCTTCAGCAGATAATGCAGAAAAGATAGAAGATGAACTGAAAGCAGAGAAAAGAAAACTTCAGAGGGAGGTATGAACCCAACACTGAAGAAACTTGCCGTTCAAACATCTCTGATACTGACCTATACACATATCACACATTCAGGGTTCCCATAATCATAACCTCTGATGTCTGGTCCTGGAAAAGTCATGGAAAATATCTGTTAATTTAAAAAAAATAGTACCTGATGCCAAATCCAAGAGTAGAGAAAATCAAACTCTTCTCATATTAGCAGTCACAGAAAAGAGTCATCCTCACACATCTCTTTTCCTTTTGTAGCTGCGCACAGCCTTGGACAAGATCGAAGAAATGGAAATGACCAACAACCATCTCGTAAAGCGTCTGGAGAAGATGAAAGCAAACAGAAACGCTCTTCTGTCCCAGCAGTGAAGAGAGACTCTCCAACACCTTACAGTAGGACACCAAAAACAAAACTGCAGGCCCTTTACCTTCTTTCCTTGCCTCTCGTGGTAAAATACAGATTTACACCCCACTAAGGCAACACTGTGAGGGAGGAAGCCTCTAAACCTTTTCTGAACCTGAGAATATTGTACTTCTGTTGGTTTTGTTGTTTTTAAAAGCTTGGTACATCACGGTAGCCGTTGAGGTTTCACTGCTCGGACCGGGTGCTTTTTCCCCCTCCTCTTTTGTAAGTTGCACGAGTATAAAAGCGCTTTTTAAACTGTAAATCGACATGACTGCAGGGCCCTCGACGTCCATGTAAATGCTTACACAGCAATGTGCCTTCACAGGGAGGACGAGGGTTATATATATTATAACACTATACAGGAAAAGCATATATTTCTACCGGTACAAAAAACATTAATGTGTTTAATAAAGGGTACAGCCACGAGTTGAACATTATAGAGAATTAATCATGTCTGCTATGGTTTCAATTAAGTATTTTTGTTTTGTTTTTCAAATATTTAAAATATTTCTTGAAAATAAATGTGTAAATGAATGCAGTATGAATGGGTGGGTGATTCATGAATTGTGATTGTTTGCAGGGCACATTGAATTTTGTTAGGGTTTTTTTTTTTTTTTGGAAGTGCTTTGTCATAATGGACTACATCAATTTTACACTAAATGTAATGATTTTAACTCCCAGTAAGAGACCGATGTTTCTACTGTGACATTGTGAGATTTCAGATTCAAGTCCCAAATGCCACTTGATGCCTTTCACGATACTGTTGTATTCAGGTTTGGTGCAACTTTTTAATCACACTAGAAACCAATTGTTTGACACTTCATGCGCACAGTGATTGTGACTAAAGCAGCTGCAAAGTATACTGTAAATAAACTGCACAATTTACAAACTAACCTCTCTCAGTAATTATTTTTGGACTTTAAGGTGAAGTGTAATTTCTACACCACAGAATTGCAATCTGTTTGATATAGCCCAACATAACAGCACTGGCTCAACCGATGGCCACATGCATGTAAAAGCAGCCTTTAGTGCACACTATAATTAATGGAAATAAAAGAACATTATGCAATGTTAAACATTTCAAACATTAATATGTTGCATTTACACATTGCATGTTTATGTTAAAGGAATAGTTCACCTAAAAATTAAAATTTGCTGAAAATGTACTCATCCTCAGGCCATACAAGATGTAGACGAGTTTGTTTCTTCTTGGGAACAGATTTGGAGAAATGTAGCAATACATCACATGCTCACCAATGGATCCTCTGCAGTGAATGGGTGCCGTCAGAATGAGAGTCCAAACAGCTGATAAAAACCGTTAAAAAGCCTTGATGGACTTGTTTCTTACAAACACAGCTTTTTCAACATTGATGGACTGGAGTTGTGTGAATCATTGTGATGTTTTCATCAAATGTTTGAACTATGCAGAACTATTGAGTGAAATATTCCTTTCATTTTTGCCATTCAGGTTGGTGCCGTTAGTGGTACAAAATGACATACTTCACTTTAAACATTATTTTGAAATGATGTTCTTGTTGATGTGTTTGATTTGGCATCTAAATCACACTTTTGGATTTATCCAATTAGCTTTGGATAAAAGCATCTGCCAAATGCATAAATGTGTAAGTGCATTACGGTATTAAAGACAGTAATGAAAACTGTTGTTTAATATTTCAAAATGGTCTTTTTTTTATTCATTTGCAGTACAAATATCTATACATTCTTGGTTTAATGTTAGCTAGTCATCTAAAATAATATGACAGGCTGTTTATCGCTGTCAGTCATTTTGAGTTAGTCAGCTGACCCACAAAACACAGCCATTTTTGATAGTACAGCATTGAAACCACAGGACAACAGAGTACTAATATTCAGCATCTTTCAAAGACTTTGTAGAGTTCAGGCAGTCTGGCGATCTGCAGAACACTGCCGTCTTCACTGAAGTGTTTTGGAGGACTGAAGAGAGAGCGGAGGGCTTTGAAAAGCACATGCAGAGATGAGCTGGCAGTGGAAGGTGGAGCATCCTACAAATAATTAACACATTAGTTAGTCTCTAACATAAAAATCATTTGGGTTTCAGTCGATTTTCCTATTAATCAAAGATCACTGACATAAACCTCAAAAAACCTGAGTGCATTATGTTCAGAATAGCATATTATATTTCTATTGCAGTTTGTGCAATATATATACAAACCCAATTCCAAAAAAGTTGGGACACTGTACAAATTGTGAGTAAAAAAGGAATGGAATAATTTACAAATAACTTCCACATCATTGCATTCTGTTTTTATTCACAATTTGTACAGTATCCCAACTTTTTTTGGAATCGGGTTTGTATATGCATACATTTACCCAAAATTATGTCTGATTTTTGTGTGTAACATTTGAACTACCTGCGGCTCTTCTGCATCCGGCTCCAGTGTGTATTGCTTCCTTATGGAATAGAAGTGACTGCATTCTATGGCGACTGCATTCTAAACATTCCTTCTCTCGATCCCAGTTCACCTGCAGTATCCATCAGTCTTTTAGTTGCATCTGGATTTGATTTTTTTAACCAATGCCCATTATATACAAACTCCAATAAACTACAATTCAAAGTGCTGACCTCAGTGGCTAAACGCAGAATGAACATGGGAAGTCCCTTCATGGCAGGAGAGTAATTATCAAGCAGCATTGGCAGACCAGTCAGGTTCCCCTCCTGTAAAGAAATGCATCAGTTTTGTAAAAGCAATAATCAACAGTGATTTTTTTTTTTTTTAAACCATAATTAGACAGGTTTTCTAGCAACAACCTTAGGTAAAATAAATACAGCCTCTTGAGCTTATTGTGAATCAGTTATACTGATGTAAGTTTAGTATGTGTCACACATCTATTTCCAGAGAAAAGTACTCTTCCAGCATTTCTGCTTCAGGAAATCCACGATATACTGAGCCAGTCCTTCTTTTGGACTGTCCTCCTCCATCCATCCACTCTCCTCTGAATCCAGAGCCAACATGGCCAAATCATAGAGCGGAGCTGGATTCTAAAGAAACACAACTTTAGTTTTTAATCTGTTGAATGTATGTGATGTATCATATAGTTAACAGATTGTTTTCAATAAAAATACATTAAGTTACATTAATTAAAAAAAACATGTATTACAAAAATAAAATGAATGCAACAACACACCGACAATCGAAGGACCCCGAAATGGCCAAAATCGTAGATCAAAATTTGATAAAACAGCTCCTGGCTGTAGAAAACAGGAGAGAGAAGTAGGTTTGTTGACACACACGTTTTAAAAATCAGTAGAAAATACTTGAATAGAATCAACTTCAAAAGCATAGTCATGAATGGACTGATGTGGTTCTAACCTGAGTTTGGTTGTATTGAGCGGGTAGAGTTTGGTCTGGTGCTGCACTAGAGTCCATTGAGGATTGACTGAACCTACAAATGAGTGATTCTGGAGCAGATCCTGTAAACCTGTGGAGGACACGGCACTCTGAGCGCTGCTGAACTGGACAACAATCAGGTCAACACTAAATGCATTACATTAATGTTTACACTACCATTAAGAAATTAAATATTTGTATTCAGCAAGGATGCATTAAAGTGATCAAAAGTGACAGTAAAGACATTTATAATGTTATAAAATTGCTATTCTGAATAAATTCTGTTATAAAAAAAATTATGTACTGGAGCTTTCACAAAAATATGAAGCAGCACAACTGTTTTCAAAACTGATAATGAGAAATGTTTCTTGAGTAGCAAATCAGCATATTAGAATGATTTCTGAAGGATCACGTGACACTGATAACTAAATATAAGGTAAGTAAGGCTAAAATTTCAGTCTGTTCTATTTCTTGAAGTGGATATTGTTTAACCTTTGTGAGTTTGCTGCTCAATATCTTGCCGGGGCTCCTTTATGCTGGTCAGTTTAATGGCGCGTCTCCTGGGTAGAGAGGCGGCCGTCAAATCCTCCTTCACCTCCCCAACATGAGACCTTTTCCTGAAAGACAGATCGAAAAAACAACAGGTTGATCTCTGCTTGGAAAGAGTACATAGAAGTGGAAGTAGAGAGGTTAATGACTGGGGCTATTTTCTCAGTACAGACATGTTGGCCAACTTTAACCATTTAATGTCAAATAAAGGTATTCTTCTCAAAACAGTGTCATCATAAAAATAGCAACCTTTACTATAACAGAAGCCCCACACAAAACTCCTCAACAGCCTGTTTTCTGCATTTCACCTTGGTGGTGCTTCATGGGGAGGAGGTTGACTGTCTTGTCTGTTGATCCTTGGTGTCACGCGGCTCCAGAACATCAAGAGCATTCAGCAGCTCGGAGTCGTCTGGCTCTGCTGGACCTTGAGCGGCAGTGGAAGAGCTGGAGGTTTTATCTGACCTGCTCTGAGCAGCAGACGTTGAGGCTGATAAATAAGTCATTTATCCTGATTCCAGTGCCGTTGTCCTGAATCAGGATGAGCTTTAGTCCGCCGCCTTTCACTGTTATCTGGATATTTGTGGCCTTTGCATCCAAACTGAGGGTTTAAAACAAATATTAGTGTCTCATATTGTGTAACATGCAGTTGTTGACATATTAGGGTCATTTCACATAACAGTTTGTGGTCCTTATTCATATGAACAAATTTGCTTTAACAATGAACAGCTGGTGCCAAAGTTTATGATTAATATAGATTAATAGCTGCTGCTGTACATATTAGTATTATTGTTATTATTAGTATTGTGTCGTTTTTGTATAATTTTAATATTTTAGTACCATTTATATACTACTGTAGAATTTATTTCACAGAAAAATAATAATTAGCTTTTATTTTTATATTTTCAATTAGTTTTCATTGATTTAGTCATTAATAGCATTAATTTAGTAATTGTGTTACGTGCTTTTGAAATTTATTTTTACATTTATTTATATTTAGCTTTAATTAAATTTTGTACTTTTAGTACTTCAAGTAGTTGCCAATATAAGATATTTCTCATTTTCATATTAAGTTTTAAGCATTTCATTTAACGAAACTATTTTAATAGTTTTTGTTCAAGTTAGCAATACCAACACTGAAGCTAAAGAAAGAGCTTTTACATTAAACGTGAGTGTTTATTAGTGATATGTAAAGTCGTGCCAGATAATAATGTACAATAAAGTGGCATCACACCAATCATTAGTAATCAATAAGCGTCATTATCTATTAGTGACTATATTAGTTTTTAGTCAGTACTTGTTTGTTTATTGGTGACGAACCTCTGCGACACCAGTTATTAGGCATAAATTAATAAAATCTCATCAGACAGAAGTTATTATAGTGGTCAATAAATGACTTGTCACCAGGTCTCACGTGCGAACCGCGGAACTTCTGGCGCGAATGGCGAGCGCCCGCCTCCCGAATGCTATGATTGGCTGGTGGAAGAACTGCATCCGCCAACGTCACTCCTGGAGTGCCGTAGTAGTAGACCCAAGTTGTGTCAGAAGCTGCGGGGTCAAGATGAACCCTGAAGATTGATACTACTAAACAGTTTTAACCAGTCCATGTTCTAATGTGCATAACTGAATATATATGTATAAAGGTGTGTTTTAAATTTGTCTTTCATGTGTGATAGCTCAGGCAAGTTTTAATCACTACACGAACGACAAAAGCCCATTTCACACATACAGTCTTTACTGGTAAATTAATTACCGTTAAGAGATCATGTGTGAAGAGGACCTTTTAAAAAATACCTGTTAAGTCATTCTAGCAATTTACCGGTATGAGAAGTTGTAAAATTACCAGTAAATTACCGGTATTGCTCTGTGTGAATGCAAAACGAGATTATCGGTATGAGCATGTACAAATTCAGAACGCGCTCACTAAAATGAAAACATCAACAAAAACCGCATATACCTTATATGGTTACAAAAACACCGGGATTAATCGTTTCCGGTTAATGATGTCACTGAATTTACTGGTATTTTGAAACTGATGTGTTAATGGTGCTTTACCGGGAAAAAGATGGAACGTTGCTGCTTGTGTGAACAGCGCAATTTTGTATTTACCGGCAAAGTCGTTCCGGTAATTTTACGGCAATTTACTGGTATTGCTGTGTGAAAGGGGCTAAAGACAGTAACAGAAATGGATACTTAAATATCGCAACACCATTTGCATCTGTAATTTTTACCCCTTTCCGCAGTTATGACCAATCATTATTAAACGTAACTTTTTAAGCCAATCAGCTTTTAGGATCACTTGGCGTCATCATCAGGCCCGCTCGTGGTTTTGAACTCAACAGAATTAGTAGGCTATGTATCCAAATGAAAAACAAAAATTAAAAATATTCTAAACCAACTAAACTCCATTCATTACAGTATAATTGTTAATATTGGTCGGTATGTGGACCCATTGCTTGAGTTGTTCTTTTGGTTTACTATATTGACAAGTTTAACATTTTACAAAATTAAATGGTCAGGCCAATCCATTTTATTATTTTTTTTTTAATTAAATGTAAACATTAAATCAAATACTGATTTTGTACAATGTAAATTATTATTATTTTTGTAGCTGTTGTTAAATATGATATTGATAGATAATCTCTTTCCTCTTTTGTGTTGTTTTTTTATAGTCTAGTTTTTTTCTCCCTTTTTTATTTTTTGCATAAATTAAACTTGGTAACATGTTTATTTTAGTCAATAAATGTAAAAAATTTCTTAATATAAGCAAAAATAATAAATTGGAAATACTTCATACAAGAAAAAATATTGATTATTAATTGATTATTTTAGTTTGTAAACAAGTATAAACTTCAAGTGAATGTAAAGTCCCCATTATGATAATGAGGACTTAGTTTTCTATATTTTATAGAAAAATGCTTGTGTGTCAGTATTTAAAGGGCTAGTAGATGATGCTTGTAACGACCAGATACACTGGAAAAAACAACAACCTCAAAACCATTTATTTCTATGCATATAGTCATGAATCTTTTCAAATGAACGGGTTTTGGTTTATATGACTTCACTTTATCTTTTGATGACATGCTGAATACTGACATGAAACCTGTTGGAAGTTGACTGTTGTATTGACTTCTGTTGAATAACTGAATGTGTCTGGTATAAATGTAGAGCTGTTGCTTTCATTTAATGGTAGCCTTCAGCATAAATTATGCATATGTGGTTTGCAAATGGCTGGTTTGGTAAGGAAACGGGTAAACAACTAGTGAAATACTGCTTTGTGTCAGCTATTTTAGACAGTTCATGCTTGTGGAGAAGGTACTGTTACCTCCACACCACTGTGTAAACTGTCCATTTATAAGAGGTCTGTTGATGTGCACATTGTGATTCACTTGCAAAATAATATCCCCGAAAATGTTTATATCCTTTAGATATCATCAGATTTAATTATGAATCCAAAATATAATAGGCTATTATAGTTTATTGTTCGAAAGACTGAATGCTTTGTCATAGCAAAGGAAAACGTCTTTTTTTTTTTTTTTTAAGTGCATATCTATAGGGAAAGAAATCGCTTTCAGACTATCATAATGTTTTATGGCGTTAAAGGGAAAAGTTTTGAACTACTTCAACTATATAGCATCACAAAACAGCCAGCAGGGGGCAGAAGACAAGAGTGATTGTGTAATGCTTTCTGGTTAAAGGGAAGAAGCTCGAGATGATCCAGTTCAATACAATTTCTTTTACGAAAGAGATATAATTCTGTCCTGAGTGTACCGAGTTATCTGGTTCACACAGCTGACAGACTTATTTATTCAATGAGTCATAGACCACAGTGCAAGCATGCAGCCTGTCTTATATCATTTTTGTTTCATGAATCTGTCTTGTATCTTTTTTTATGTTTCATGAATATAGGAAGGTATATTCTGTGTTAAAACAGTTTATACATTTGGTTTAGCTTCATTTAATGGTCTTCAGACATTTTTATAAAGTAACAAACAAATTTGACAAATCATGCATAAATGAAAATGAAGTAATCTTTTACTCATGTAACCCCATGACCTACTTTCTTCTGTGACCACACAAATATATTTTATTTCTTATAATGACTTTTCATTATCCTCATGTCAATTACATTGATCAGTTCTGGAAAAATGGATAATAATGAGCTACTGTACAGTACAGGAGTCACATCAAGTGTTTCCAGCTCATCCACACTTCATTTTGTTCTGCAATCCTGTGGTTGAGCTCCTCACAGTCTTCCTGCAGCTAGACAAATATGTTTTTTCTCGCTCGCTCGCATGTAGGTATGTGAGGAATTTTGTTTCTTTGTTCTCTCATATTTTGAATGCAAACTTAAGTAATACCTGAAACCAGTTCTCTTCCTCTCAGAGTTGAGCTGTAAATCTTTCTCTTCAACACTGTCCCATGTTTGCTGCATTGAATTCACACTGAACCTTTTTACAAGCCTGTTGAATGAACAGCTCTGACCAATGCTGAACAAGAAGCTATGTGTGCAACATTCCCTGTCAGGTCTCTCTCACATGGTTTCTCTAAAGCTTAACCTGTTAACTAGATTTGCTCTATTCTGTCTCTATTATATGTCTCTATTCTGCATTGGATTAAAGGTAGGGGTTAAATAAAAATTATTTTTACTTGGTACAATTTATCAAAGGGGAATTTGTGGGTTTCTGGACTGGTTCCCCAAATGAGTTGCAGAAAATCAGGAATCCGAAAGTCCAAAAATCAATATAATTACCTCATTTGTCAGTCACAGCCAGCTCATATTTAGCCAACACTTGTTTAGACTAATCATATGCATATTTATTTCTATAATTGGTGCTTCAAGCAACCTGGATTTGTTTACACACAGTATTAAGGTTGATGAAGGCCTATAACCTGAGAAGGGAAATGCCATCACATTATTTTATGAGGTGTGCTCTGTTAAGTCTCATCTGTCAGTCTGTGTTTCTTTCTGCTTTCACCCTTTTGTAGGTCTGACCTGATATTTTTAGTATGGAGGAAACTTCTAGAGAGGTGTGTATACAGTATGTATAGTATGAATAGGTAAAGTGGGACACTTTCTGGTAATTTGTCACTAGCATTGTATTAAAAGATGACAAATGGCTTAGCCCTTCACACAGTTAAATTTTGAATAGCTAAAGATTACTAGTACACTATAGAGGGAAAAGAAGGAATTATACAAAATCTGAGCATCCCAAGTTATCTGTATTCATCTGCATGTACATAAACACTTGCACACCTGAAATATAAAAATAAGAGTTAAAAATAAAAGGGGGTTAATTATATACAATGATCTTTACACAAATTAGATTTTTTTTCCCAAGAAGTACATTTTCCTCTAAGTGCAAAATTGGTCACACTTGTAACACAGCTAGTCTGAACCTGCTGATATGCTCGGGTTGTAAGTGTTTCCTTTTTACGTTGTTTAATATATATATATATATATATATATATATAAAATTAATCATTTTAATGTTTAATCTGTTAATTCAATGTCATCTGGTTATCATTTCATCAGACCCCCAGGTTAAGAACCATTGGAGAAGTGTATACTTTTATGATGAAGAGAATTGGTAAATTGAGAAAAGAAGCGGGCCGAGCACTGAACCCTGAAGCACCTCAGATTGGTTACATGATATGACTTAGACACCCTTCCCAGTAGCTGCTCATGAGGAAAAATGCAAGTGCAGGTAAGAGTGTTAGAGAGAATGAACAGGGACAGAAGAGATGGGAATGTTTTTCAGACCTTGTTTCTTCTGTCCTTATGTTTTAAACTTTGATATAATATTTCCACTTTATCTAAACCAAATTAATGTAGTTAAGAATTCCTACTCTGTAAATTGTAAATGAGTGTAAAGAAAATAATACTGTTGTTGCTTCCTACCCCACTGTTAATTTTATTTTAAGCATTTTTTATTCAAAATAGGTGATAAAATACACACAAGGAGATCTCCTATTCAAAAGTGCAAACAAATTGGAAATATTGAACCAAAACATAAAATGCCTAGATAGAATTGTGTCAAATATACACTGGCCTATTTTATGCAGTCTTTGTGAGCCAAGTACTTTGGAAAGTTGTTACAACCCTCCCCTTCTAAACAGTAATGATCATTCTAGTTTTGTTGTTTTGTAAAAACTTGTGAGGATGCTAGATATCTAATTTTATCTATCATGACACCCTGCTGATTCATTTCCCTTCCATTAACATGTCTACAAATCAAATTATAAGCCAGATGTGAAAATGTATTTTTGTCCCATAAATTCTGTATAATAATTTCTGTATAATAAATCCTGTATAATAATTTCGTACAGTCTTTCTACTTTTACCTCAGGAGAGTGGTGAAGAAAATGATATATTTTTAGGGTATGTTTTTGGCTGTGAGGTTAGCCTTAGTTAAATAATAGAGTTGGTCAGTGTATTCCAAAAATATTTAAATAAATTTATTATTTGAATATTGTTTATTGGGCCAGACGTGCCAATAGTTGAAGAAACATCAACAATTTGATGACGTTACCTTCACATATAGATGTTGTTCAATTAGTATTAGTGCTGCTAATACAGTCCCACCTCTCTTTTCAATGCATGCAAATAATATTCAACCGCATTCTGACAAAATGATGGAGCGATCTCATTTGCATGGATCTGGCTGCAGGCCAAAACATTATTTTCATATTGTTTGTGTGCAAAGGCTTACAGCATCTTTTGAAGATGCACTTAGAGATGGAGAACTACAGTACATGCAGGCACAATGCAGAATGTTAGCTGGTCAAATGCCTCCGATACAATTACTACAGAAAATCTTTTTCTCAAACATTTTCATATCTGTGAATGTATACTGCATATGTAAAATAAGTCCATTTTGTGCATTTAAGTGCCGTTCAAAATAATTTGGCCACTGGTGAAACATATATAACTATAGAATAATGAATTGTTTGCAATATATGTTGCTTGCTAAAAAGTTCTATTCTGTGCTATCCTGTTATCCTGTGGCGGAAACAAGCTTCCATAAAGTTACAGCATCTCCCAGTAGCGGGACCATGCTAAACAGTCAAACCTTCACCCCTTGGTATTTATAATGCAGCCATATTTTTGTCCAATCAAATGCTCTTTAAGATAAGAATGCCCTGCCCATGAATACCACCACCTACCTCTGACTTGCAGCAACAAGTAGCATCGACTGTGACTTAACTAATGGCTATTGATTATTTTATAATAAAAGGGGCTATGCCTTTGATATGTCCTTTTTATGTTTCAGCACAAAAAAGAAATCTGTGCTTGTCAAGACATTTCAGCATTAAAGATCTGTGATGTGCACAACAGGTATAAACACATGCGGATTAGCTGTGAAGTGATATCTGTGAAAACATGTGACTTCTGTACTTGGAATGTTTTTAGATATGAGTTCACGTACATTTTCACCCTTAACGCTGCTTGCAATATGTGCTTTAGGCGGTGTCTGTTGAAACAATGCAGGATTGTTCAGGCATGCACTTGAGAAATGACATCATATCCTGTAGCCCTCCCGTAGCCAAGTTTTACTTGGAAGGGAAACAAATTCATATGCAACAGCATTATAGAATTCAAGCTTTACAAACATTGGATCAATAGCGCTTACTGTCTAATAAATGTGAGCTTGAGGCTTGAGTTTGTGTACAGACTATAAATCAAAATAGCCTGATTAAGTTTTAAACAAACTGTTTTTGTTTGAGGAGCTGTCAACAATATATATTAGCACATCAGTGCAATAAAAAAATACAATTAAAATGTAATTTATATGGAACATTTTTAGCCTTAATCAAAATAGACTGTCACACAGTTATGCACACTTAAAATTGAGGTGAATTTGACAATGCGGTTTGAGAAATGTTCAAGCATTTTGTGGCAAAGCATTGGGTTTAAAGTTAGAAGTGAAGTGGTTCTCCTTCAGGAACTAATCGCACTTTGGTGGCTAAGATGAATCGCTTCCAGATAAACCACATCGAAGACCTTCTGGCGTAGAAATGATGTGATTTCATCTCCGTTGCCCATGGTGACGCTGGCATATACATAAAAGTCACACCCTTATTCTGAAACTCTGCAAACAAGGTTATAACAATAACACTGTGTATATGTTATTTTAGAGCATTACGCTTTCAGCAAAAACATAATGCTTATTCAGCACATATCCAGTAAGATATTTGAGCCTACTGGATTTTAAATGCAACTTCCAAAGAACATTTGTAATATCTTTTGATAAATTGCACAGTTGTAGTGTTTTAAAAATTGAGTTAGTTCAATCGAGTCATGTCTTCCACAGATCATTTGCTTTAAACTGAAAATTCTGTCATCATCTACCCGCCCACAAGTCACTGTGAACTTAAATAGCTTCTTCCTGCATAACATGAAGGGAAATTTTACATTGCATTACAAGGAACATGCATACTGATCAATTATTTAAAGTACGTGCAGACATGTTGTTATATACAGTATGTTCTTATATAAATATATAACATGCATAGTGATAAATTATGTATATAGCACTGCAATTAGTTGCTACCCATCACATATTTTTGTTCACATAGACTATGTTATTTTTTTTCTGACCCTGCTGTCTTTACAGAAGTTATCTGTTCCAGCCAAACAAGTTCAGTCTCATTTGACCCCATTATTTCATCTGCGCTTCGATTGCGCATACAAAGATAACAATTTTGTTATATACAAAATTAAATAAATCACTGGTTATCCAGATTTGACATAAGTAATGTTCATAAAAGTTGTATGGCCTTGTCTAAATAAGTTGTTGTTTTAATCAGTATTATTTGTGCATTAGAATTCCTACAATTCAGACCTACTGCAAGTAAATTGTTTACTATTAAATTAGTTCAGGAGTTAAATTAAGAGCATTAAATGAATTCAGTACTGATGATTTTAATAATATGATATGTATTCATACGGTATAGTGTCTGAAGAGCTGTGTTATTGCTGAGTGGAAGTTTTCCTGTGACCTCTGACTGACTGTGTTCAGCCAACACATATAGGCTATTCTCCAATTTATGTGTATTTGAGCTCCAGATCAAGGCTTTGTTATCAGGACCGTGTGTTGTTCAGTTAAAGATTGACTAGGATTAATTATTAACTTTGCATATACTCATATGGAAATCAATAATGTTATGGAATCAATCATGTCATGAAATCTGTCTGTCCTTAACAACTTCCACTCAGAAACTCACGTAGCCTAAGTTTATTGGTTTTTAAAAAGATGGACAAACGCTTATTTTGAGCATGACTGTACCAATTTTTTGTCTTGCGCGCAAACACAAACAGGTTTTGCCTATGTTATCAGGACCGTGTGTTGTTCAGTTAAAGATTGACTAGGATTAATTATTAACTTTGCATATACTCATATGGAAATCAATAATGTTATGGAATCAATCATGTCATGAAATCTGTCTGTCCTTAACAACTTCCACTCAGAAACTCACGTAGCCTAAGTTTATTGGTTTTTAAAAAGATGGACAAACGCTTATTTTGAGCATGACTGTACCATTTTTTTGTCTTGCGCGCAAACACAAACAGGTTTTGCCTATGTGTGTGTGTGTGTGTGTGTGTGTGTGTGTGCGTCGGTGTGTGTTGTCCTCTTCTTCAACTGGAGTTGAAAGTTAAAACGTCTGTCGCTCGTCATGACGGTCTTACATCGATGAAGGGATTTTACACAAGGAATTAAGGGGAAACGGCACTTTAGACTGGTAAGTTGAGTTTAAATCTATGTGAGAAAACTTTAACGTCATTATATTTCATAATTGTACTTTTTTGATGCTTAGCAGTAAGTTCCCGAAGCTTTGAGAGCTTCACGATACGCGACTATAAAATGTAACGGAGTCGCGTCGATCCTCGTGAGAAAGAAAACATGTTTGTGATGAAGTTAACAATCGATGATTTGTATTTAAATAAATATAAGTGGAAAAAATCTGACAAAGTTTAGCCCCTATACATGGTGGGCTCTCTGTTGTTGCGACACACCCCGGGGTTGTTGAAGCAGATGTGAGATCTTTTCAGATTAATTTTTAATGATTTGCTGATAAAGTACAGGATTCGTGCTATTTGGCTGACATTATAATAGAATAGATTTAATAGAAAGCCCAGAGATCTTTTCACTTGACGTGTTAACTAAGATTACTTTAATGTGGCTTTTAGACTTGAAATGGACGCCGTGTTCGTTTATTTTTTTCTTCTGTTTTAGTATCCATATTGTATTTAACCCTTTCAGACCTTAATTAGGTTGCAATGACACACAATTATGACTGTTTTATTTCTACCCTAAATGTATGATGACCATAAATAACCATAAATGATAATGATAAAAAATAAATAAATAAAAAATCAGCTTGTGACCAATTTAACAGTTATTTCTAAATATATAATAAAAAAAGGATGAACTGAAATCATAGTGTGATATTATGACTTGTGTAGTTTAGGGTATAAATGTAACATTAGATTTCTGGCTTTTTGTAACATTTATATATTGAGTTATTAACATCCATTCTTAGTGATTTGGATGTCACTGGATGACTATAAATAAATAACATTTAACTACTCAAAAAATGTTTATCATTGAAACAGACATTGGGTTAGGTCTTAAAAAATCTTCCTACACGTTTCCATTTATGTGAGCAGTATTTTTCTTTTATTTAAATTAGATTTTAAATATATCCATCATAATTATTTTGGTTTGTTTGCTTATATAAAAATGTGTGCATCTACAATAATCTAGGCACATGTTTGATTCTCATATGTTTAATGTACTTGGGGAGCAAACAGATGTTGCCCTCATGTGGAATTAATGTGTATTATCTTTTTTTTCTGTTGTTAATCTGTCTGCATTGGTGCAGGTGTAAATATGGCTCATCGTTCCCAGTGCTCCTCTGCCGGGGACAATCCCCTGGACCCCAACTACCTGACCCCTCATTACCGTGAGGAATACCGAATGGCGATTGACGCCCTGGTTGAAGCTGACTTGGAGGGCTACTATGGGTTTCTTCAGGAAGCAGATGTGGTTGATTTCTTATCCCGTTCAGAGACTGAGTATATCAAATGCATGGTGCAGGCTCCACATCACACTGCCCAACCAGAGAGGCGATACATGGCTGAAGATGTAGATGGCTCTTCTGACACTTACTGGCCGGTACATTCAGACCATGATGCTCCGAGCCTGGACCTAGGATGGCCGCAGCAATTCAGATTTGTTGGACCCACTGAGGTCACTACGTTGGTGAATCCGTCTGATCCCGAGATGCCCAGTATCAAGGAGCAAGTCCGCAGAATGATCAAGAATGCACAACAAGTGAGTTTTGCATGCTGCCCAAGTGCAGTAAGATATTATTAGTGCATGACAGAAGTCAGTAAATACAGACTGTCTTCCCTTATTGCTCAGTGATTTTAATCACTTTGGTACTGTTTTCACAAGTAAACAGTAAGAACTTTGTATGGCAGACTGGTCACACAAGTTTCACAGCTGGTCTTTCATTCGAAACGTGACATATTGACAGCTATTATGCACTCATTGGTGTTGTAGAATCTAATGAGAACTTTGGTTTAATCGGTAAACACAAATGAATTAACTTATTTCAATTTAGACATTATAACTTCCAGTTAATTCAATACAGGTTTCTTGTTTCAATTTGCCCAAAGGTGCTAAATGAAAAATGCTGATTTTATGCCTAATTGACACAAGAACTGTCATTTAATATCATAATAGTTGGTGTGATCAATGATGGCATGAAATGGCATGCAATTACATGCACTGTTGCCTATAGTAATGCCATTCACAACAGTATGCCTCTGTACTGTAATAATATCATGCAGACTTCCCATAGCAGACTTGTTTTGTTTTTTCTCCAAAATGTTCTTGCTAGACTGAATTCACAGTTGAACCAGTTTGCGTTTCAGATTGTGTTTTTTTCTTTCTTTTTTTTTCTTTGGCACTGTTTCTTGATTGAACTTTTGCCTAATGTAAAATAGACTGGGCCATCATTGTTGACAATCTGGTAAACTGAAATCTTAAGTAAACATAAAAGTAGACAGTTCTCCCTGCCCTTCACCTCTCTTCATCTGATATTGGCCTCTTTGTCATTTATGTATGTATGGTTAAAATGATAGGGGGAAAAAAAGCTGAAAAGAAAAAAAAAGAACTGAAACTTGTTATGATATCACTGCAATGCATAATGTTTTTTTTTCTTTGAGTAATATATATATATATATATATATAATTTCTTGTTCTAGGTTATCGCTGTGGTAATGGATATGTTTACAGATGTTGACATCTTTGCTGATATCCTTGGTGCAGCTACACGTGGTGTCGCTGTTTATGTTCTTCTTGATGAACTGAATGCTCACCATTTTGTTGCGATGGTGAACAACTGTAGGGTGAATCTGGATGAAATAAAAGTAGGTACTTTTCATAGGTGTTAATCACAAGTTGAGTAGTCCAAGAGTGTTTTGGAGCTATTTTCTAATGATTTATAGATTTACTACTTTATAGAATTTACTCAAAATCAGCCTATGAATTAATGGCCTTAGCATTGATTTTTTTTAAATTTATTTATTTATTTTTCCAATCATGAAACAGAAATATCATGAATATGATAGAAATATAATTTCCTATGATAGAAATAATAGGAAAGTACTGTTACATACTTATTTTGAGAATTTTGTATGAACAATATATGTGAGCGTTATTAAGACTTTACAATTTTTTACCATTAGGTGGTACACTTTAAAATACACTTAAAATGTGGTTGTTTTGAACTGGTGCAAATGCATTAATATTCTTTTTACTTGCAGTTCATGCGGGTAAGAACTGTGTCTGGTAGTAGCTACTACTGCCGAACAGGAAAGACCTTCAAAGGTCAGATGATGGATCGCTTTATACTGGTAGACTGCAGAGCTGTTTTAAGTGGCAACTATAGGTAGGTACATTTTATCTTTTAATGTTTTTTTGTAAACCATAAAAATATTTTGAATTTATAATGATTATATGTGAAATATATGTGGGTTTTCTTTAGCATATATTGTGTTCTGAGGTTGGTATGGTCATTTAATATGTGTTGGCTAATACATTTTCTCATTTTGTGTTGCAGCTTCATGTGGTCTTTTGAGAAGATACATCGCTGTCTTGCTCATCTCTTTCTGGGACAGCTTGTAACCACCTTTGATGAAGAGTTTCGGATTCTCTTTGCCCATTCAGAGCCACTGGTTGTTGAAAATGTTTTGGCAATTATGCCGCACTCTAGTGGAGAACCCGAAAGCTACTACAACACAGAAAAGACCCACATGTTTAACAGAGAATATCCAACTATGGGCATGGAATGGGCTGGGCGTACTACAGAAGATCATATGAAATTGGGTTACAAAATGTTACCCTTTAGGAGTGAATCCATCCACAGTGCAGCAGAAGCAAATCCCTCTGTTCAGAGGAATATGAACCTGCATGCTGCCCAGCAATATAGAGGGGACCATCAATTTATAGAGCATGGAAGGCAAATGAGAGGACCAAATGAAACGGTTGGCTTCAAAAGACATAGCAGTGGAAATATTCCTGATTATGAATACATGCCCCCTCAAAACCATCCAACAATAAGAGGAAAGCAGTACAAGGAGGGAGCAATTCCCCACGTTGGACACTTTGCACAGGAACCATGTATTCACAAGGGAGCTGGATTACAATCTGGTTATGACATGTATGGAAGATTTAGAGGCCAAGGCCAACACATTGATCAGTTTTCAGGGCCTGGCTACCCTCATGAGGGAGAAGAAGATGAACCACCTGGAGTTTATGACCATATTCAAAGATACTTGCAGTCTCACCCTGCTATGGAGGAAGGACATGGTCCAAGAAATGTATTACCACCTGTGCAGTCCAATCTCAAGAGACATAGCATGGGACAGTCTTATACATGTCAGACCTCCCCAACACAACCAAACCCGCCAGAACAGAAATTTTTCTTCAATGTAAGCCGCAAAGCACAGGATGTGAGTCAAAAGCAAGGCCTGCGGGACTGGAGGATCAGCTCATACCTTAGTGCATATGATGATGCAGGAGAGCTGGATTTAGCTGAACTTGAAGGATCCACTGCATGTGATGACATTCCATGTTTTACGCAGGAAGCTCCCTGTGGCCCCATACGTGCTGAAATTAGACTAGGAAATAGAGAGTTTAACAGGATACCTTCACCTAGGGAAAATCCCATGTTTGTCCAAATTCAGAATAATTCTATTGTGCCTGACAGTTCAGTTAATCATCCATCTGACTTATCACAAATAAATATCAAAACAACACCAGCATCAACTTCAGAGTCTTCTTGCACCACTGAGGGTGACAAAGTGGAGGAGACGCAGAATAGAGAACCTAAAGAGACTAGCCGGATAAGTGAAGAGTTCCTCAAGAGGAAACCCAGCCGACATGTCCAGAGGAGTTCCAGACTGAGACACTCACTGATATTCAGTTCAAATTTGGAGTTGCATGCATCAGAAGAGATGAAAGATGCTGGTGGAGAAAAAGATGGAGATGACGCTTCTAAACTTTCAGCTCGTGTGTCACAAATCTTGGATAAAAGGAGGACTGGTTCTCCATTTCAACCATTCCAGTGGAGCAGTTATGTAAAGTCAGCCACATTTGATAACTCCGCCTCAGAGTCTGCACAACCTGAGGATGAACTGAACAAAATGGGTGAAAATTCTGATGTAGATAAGGTTGAAAACTGCCAAAATCTTAGAAAGAATTCAATAAAGGGTGATCTGCAAGAAAAAGATCTGCCTCAAACAGTTCCTGAAACAAACAGCCAAAGGGATGAATGCCCATCTAATTTATTGCAAAAGTCATCTTCTTTCATAGATATGAATGACCCTGACTGTAGACTGAGGTATTTCAAAGAGTTAGCAGCAAAACGCAAACTTGAAGCAGCAAAGGCTTCTCAGAGCAATCCTATGAAAGCCACCCAAAAGTTTACTCTACCAGAGAAACCGTCAACTATTGACGCAGATAAAACAACAGGACATGTTTTCAAGATCCCAGAAACTCCACTCAAGTCAAAAAATACATTTTTCACAGTAACAGAGATCAAAGAAACCTATAAAGACACCAAATGTAAGGAATCGAGTAAAGACATCCTACACAGAGCTACTGATGCTGAAAAAATTAGATTTAAGAAAAAACTTGCAGAAGAGTCTGGCTCATCTTTAAAAATTTTCAAGGGAGACATTGATCAAGCTCTAAAAGAAGAGGCAAGAACAGTATCTACAGCTAAAAACCAGACACCCCCCGTTTTAAATTTTTTTTCACAAAAACCTCTCTGTGCCTCACAAAATCAAGTAGTTTCTGTTGCATTAGATACTACCTCAACAAAATCTGGCCTCAACCAATATCGTATTTCTAAAGAAACAGATCCCTCCCATGCCGTTCTGACTGAGAGTTGTCTGCCTATAAAGTTACCACAGACAAAGTGTGTGTCATCACTACGCACCACTCCAAATGAGGGAAGTCTATCTGCAAATGACTCACAAACTCTTGCACAGAGCTTACCCAATATTTTTGGCACATGCTCTGATACTGTGCATCTTGATTCTAATTCAACAGCAAACCTTGCAATTGTAGATACTTGTGTACCTTCAAAAAATGACCACAAAGATACAGTTCCCTCCCCAGCATTTTACCATACAACTGGAATTAGTTCCACCAAACACTCCACTGCAATAAAGGCAGACTTTTCTCAGCACCTCAATGAAACTGGGGCAGATTTTTCTAAACACTCCACCGCAGTAGGGGCTGAACCATCTACAGCAGAAAATGTGTATTTCCAACACCACTCTGCAACAGAGAAAAACTCTTCTCAACAGCATACCTTAATAGAATTGGACTCTTCCAAACCACCCACTACCACAGAAAGTGAACCCTCACGAAAATCTACTTCAACAGAGGCAGACTCTTCTCAACACACTCCTGCATCTAAAATAGACTGTTTTCAACAGCCTGCTGCAGTGAGGAAAGACTTTTCCCTGCACCCCACTGCTACAGAATGTGGAACTTCAAAAAACTTCCCTATTACAACAGAAACTGACTCTTTCCAACAGCCAACTGCAGCAAAAAGTGAATCGTCACATCACTCCACCACAATTAAAGCAGCCTCTTCTCAACAGCCTACTGAAACAGGAGATTACTCTTTTCAGCCCCCCACTAAATCTGGGACAGACTTTTGCCAACACTCCACTGCAGTAGAAAGTGAAAACTCTGAAAAATCCACTGCAGTGCGGACAGACCCTACTACAGCAAGAAATAAACCTTCCCAACAGTGCACTGACGTATCTTCAGACTTTTCCAAACATCCCCCTGCAGTGAAGGTAAATTCTTCCCAAAACCCCACTGCAGCAGAGATTAACTCTTCTGAGCAGTCTGCTGCATCAGTGATAGACTCTCCCCAACACCACATGGCAAAAGAAAGTAAATGTTCGCTAAAACCCACTGTATCGGGTACACAACCTTTCATACAGCTAAATGCATCTGCTGCAGCCACTTCACAACATCCCAGTGCAGTGGAGGCAGACTCCTCCCAACAGCCCACTGCAACAGCCACGGACTCTTCTCAACACCCCACTGCAACAGCCACAAATTCTTCTCAGCAACCCACTCAAATGGAGAAAGACCCTTCTCAAAAGTCCACTGCAGTGGAGACATACTATTCCCAGCATGCCGCTGCAGCAGTCACAGACTCTTCTCAGCACCCCACTACAACAGTCACAGATTCTCCTCAACAACCCATTGCAATGGAGGCAGACCCTTCTCAAAAGCTCACTGCATCAATGGTAGACGCAATTGAACAGCTAACTGCATCAGAGGCAGACACTCCCAAGTCCCACACTACAACAAAAAGTGACCTTTCCACAGAGACCGACTCTTCCCGGGAGCCCACTGCAGCGGTCACAGACTCTTCTCAGCAGCCCACTGCAAAAGAGACCGACTCTTCCCAGCAGCCCACTGCAACAGAGACCGACTCTTCCCGGGAGCCCACTGCAGCAGTCACAGACTCTTCTCAGCAGCCGACTGCAAAAGAGACCGACTCTTCCCAGCAGCCCACTGCAAAAGGGACCGACTCTTCCCAGCAGCCCACTGCAACAGAGACCAACTCTTCCCGAGAGCCCACTGCAGCAGTCACAGACTCTTCTCAGCAGCCCACTGCAACAGAGACCGACTCTTGCCGGGAGCCTACTGCAGCAGTCACAGACTCTTCTCAGCAGCCCACTACAACAGAGACCGACTCTTCCCAGCAGCCCACTGCAACAGAGACTGACTCTTCCCGGGAGCCCACTGCAGCAGTCACAGACTCTTCTCAGCAGCCAACTGCAAAAGAGACCGACTCTTCCCAGCAGCCCACTGCAACAGAGACCGAATCTTCCCGGGAGTCCACTGCAGCAGTCACAAACTCTTCCCAGCAGCCCACTGCAACAGAGACCGACTCTTCCCAGCTGCCCACTGCAACAGAGACCGACTCCTCCCAGCAGCCCACTGCAACAGAGACCGACTCTTCTCAGGAGCCCACTGCAGCGGTCACAGACTCTTCTCAGCAGCCCACTGCAAAAGAGACCGACTCTTCCCAGCAGCCCACTGCAAAAGGGACCGACTCTTCCCAGCAGCCCACTGCAACAGAGACCAACTCTTCCCGAGAGCCCACTGCAGCAGTCACAGACTCTTCTCAGCAGCCCACTGCAAAAGAGGCCGACTCTTCCCAGCAGCCCACTGCAACAGAGACCGACTCTTCCCGGGAGCCCACTGCAGCAGTCACAGACACTTCCCAGAAATCCACTTCAACAGTCACCGACTCTTCCCGGGAGCCCACTGCAACAGAGACCGACTCTTCTCGGGAGCCCACTGCAGCGGTCACAGACTCTTCTCAGCAGCCCACTGCAAAAGAGACCGACTCTTCCCAGCAGCCCACTGCAACAGAGACCGACTCTTCCCGGGAGCCCACTGCAGCAGTCACAGACTCTTCTCAGCAGCCCACTGCAAAAGAGACCGACTCTTCCCAGCAGCCCACTGCAACAGAGACCGACTCTTCCCGGGAGCCCACTGCAGCAGTCACAGACTCTTCTCAGCAGCCCACTGCAAAAGAGACCGACTCTTCCCAGCAGCCCACTGCAACAGAGACCGACCCTTCCCGGAAACCCACTGCAGCAGTCACAAACTCTGCAACAGAGATAGGTTTTTCCCAGAAGCCGACTGCAGCAGACAAAGACTGCTCCCAGAAGATCACTTCAACAGGCACAGTCTCTTCAGACACAGACTCTTCCCAGCAGCCAACTGCAACAGAGACAGATTCTTCCCCTGAGCCCACTGCAGCAGTCACAGACACTTCCCAGAAGTCCACTTCAACAGGCACAGACTCTTCCCAGCAGCCCACTGCAATAGAGACTGCCTTTTCCCAGGAGCCCACTGCAAAATACACAGACTCTTTCCAGCAGCCCGTTACAACAGAGGAAGACTCTTCCCGAGAGCCCACTGCAGCAGACACAGACTTCTCCCAGAAGTCCACTGCAACAGAGACAGATTCTTCCCCTGAGCCCACTGCAGCAGTCACAGACACTTCCCAGAAATCCACTTCAACAGTCACAGACTCTTCCCAGAAGACCACTGCAACAACCACAGACTCCTTCCAGCAGTCTTTTGCAACAGAGACAGATTCTTCCCAGCTGCCCGCTGCAAAAGAGACAGACTCTTCCCAGAAACACACTGTAACAGCCACAGACTCTTTCCAGCAGTCTGTTCCAACAGAGACTGACTCGCTCCAGCAGCTCAGTATAACAGAAAGTGAGTTTTCCCAAAATCCCTCCAAAATGTGGACAGACACTTCCAAACATCCTATTGAAACAGAAAATGAATCCCTTCAAGACATCACTGCAACAAAGTCTGACTGTGTGAATGAGAAAAAAGATGAGAACTTATCCGAAGCCTTTAGCAAACTAATACCCATTCCAGAGGCTAACAATACTCAAAAAGAAAATAGCATATCTCAAAATGCAGTCATCACAGACTCAAGTTCCCCAGCTAAACATTCCCAATCTGAAACTGTTACACCTTGTGATAGCCAAGTGGAACTAAACCAAACACAAGCATGGGCCAAACCATGTATAACTCCTACAGTTAAAGACACAGACAATGGTGCTTTAACTAGTCTTGATTCAGTGGAGGTGAGCTCAACTCAGTCTCAAGGTTCTCCAGAGCCTTGCCTGTCCTCGAATGAGATCAACTCAACTCAGGGAATAACACAATTACAATCTAGCTTTTCATCAAACCCTATGGAATCTAGCTGTCAAAATGACTCAAAGCCTGAGAAAACAGATGAGTGCCAGAAATCTGACACAGAGCAAACTCAGAATCATGACACTTCAGCTGTAGATGCAGGGCCCAAGATAGCTCACATAGAAGTTTCTACAGCAACAGACTCTAACGAGGTTGATAAATTTAAACAAACAACACCAGAGGTAGAAAACACTGTGACTAACTTTGCAGAGGTGTCAGAAAAATCACATTTGACTGTACACAGTAATTCAAGTAAGTCTTCTGTTGCAGAGAATGCAAAATCGATAAAGTCTGCCCATCAGACATCTACTGCAAATGTTATCTCTTGCAGCAACCTTAGAGATGACACTAAAGTTCTTTTAGAGCAAATTTCAGCAAAGAACCAAAGCAGATCTTCCCAGTCCAAGCAGACCCTTGCTGCACCCAATGAAGCCAAAAAGGGTGAGGTTAGTTCTGCAGATAAATTGTTTTCAAATAATTCAGGAAGGCCCTGGTCCTCCAAGGCTACACCAGAAGAGCGGGAGATGTTACTACAAAAGATGGAGCAAATGCGTAAAGAGAGGAAGGTCTACAGCCGTTTTGAGGTATGTTGTAGAATTTATTTCATATGAATTCATCATTTTTAGTAATGTTGTATGTGCTTGTATGCATGCACATTTTTTAAATTGCTCTGAAAATATTGATAGTCTGTTGCATAGATTCATTGTCCAAAAGCACAATATCCAAAAGACTGAAGTTAAATGTTTAAATGTAAATTTATATTTGCTATATTACTCAAGCATTTGTATTTGGTGTTTTCACAGACCTCGTGAATTAAACCATTGGAAGAGGGGCTCCAATGATGAACAATAAGAGGAAAGCGATTTTGCCTGATTTTTTTTACCTCATAACTGTGAACCTGCACAAACTTGGATTGAAGTGTCTAATAACTTCTGATTATACCAAAGAGTGCTGCCTATATTGAGAGAATAGAAATCCCTGCAGGGCTTAACAAGCTATGCAGATGATCTGTGTGACAAAACAGGAACTCAACCTTTACCGGCTGGAATAAGCTTTTGATAGGGCAAGTATTTCTCTGTGTGTGTGTATATATAGTGTAGCTGTGAAACACATTTCTGAATCTTTTGTAGTTATTGGGAGTTCTATATTCAGAAATTATGATCTGATATAAATACTGTAAATAGAGAGTTGTTTACATAACAAAAACAAGGAGATAATTAAAAATGGAACTGCCAGAGACAGAGCTTGTGAGCGATGTGGAGTGGGGGAGGAGTTGCGTGCTATTGCCTGGAGCAAGGAGCAGGTTTTCTGAAAGTCTCCAAGATTGTTCTGATACTGCTCCAACATGTTAACAGACTATTGTTTGTGTTTCAATACAGCATAAAACTTTTCTCCAAGTATTGTTTGTTTTTTTCATTTAATATATGTATATTGTGCCCAGATGTTTTTCAATGATAATAAAAACAAACACTGAAAGAACTTTATAGTGGATCAGTAATTGGGCACACTTTTTTCTATGTAGTGAACTTGAAGCAGTGAGTAACAGGAAAAGGAAAACATGAGACAAAGGGGAGCTGGAGCAAAATGATCACAGGATGCTTTGAGGAGGGAAAAGGGAAATTGTTCAGTCACATGATCTGGCCAGAGAATAGAAAAGGACTTTGTTTACTAGTCCATCAGTTGATTGTGTAAAGCAACAATATGCCAACGTAAAATACATTCTGTTGGTCTGTGTTGATGCACAATGGAAACTCCAAAAGCACATGTTTTTGAGTCCAGATAACATGTACATGCAGCACCTTTTGCTAAAAGGAGTTTCTCAATATATCAAATCGATAAAGTACACAAAAATGTGCAATATTGTGAATTTAGGATGAGATATAGATTTATTTACATTGTGAAATCTGTTTGTCAAAAATTGCCAGTGTATTAAGACTGCATCTGTTTATGATGGAGGTCCCCATAAGCTACGCGTGTAGAGAACCAAAAATTTCTGTTACATATTACCACCCGTTACAAAGGTTGTATGTTTGAATCATTTTTAGAGCAAAATGAGTAATACACCAATATAAAACTAAAATAAAACTAGAACGTAAGACATGTTTTTCAAATATTAAAATCTCAAATGTGTGTTATTTGCTTTTGTCGCAATCTAGGCTTTCAGAACAGTAATGAAACTAAATGCTCAATGGGAAGGAATTTATCAAAAAAAAAAAGTGTTTATTAATCTTCTGATGAAAGAATATTTTACACAATGTTTGTTTTTTGTTCAATCTGTAATCATTCCCCTTTGGCACCATTATGTGTGTTTTATATGGGAACAAATGGATAGTTGACTCAAAAATAAAAATTCTGTTATCTTTTACCTTCATGTCATTCCAAACTTATATGACTTTCTTTCTTCTCTGGAAAAGAAAACAGTTGAAACTTGATAAATGATGACAACTTCTATGTTCTTTTAAGTCAATAAATATTGCAGTGAATGTGGCTATAGACCATATTACAACATGAAAAATATTTTGGGGTGAGTATCACCTTTGCTTTCAAAACAGTGTTGCCAACTAATTTTCAGGGAAAGTTGCTGAAGGCAGGACAATTTGTTGCTAAAAGTTGCTAAATGACGTAGTGATGTCATTGTGCGATGACATCATGTAATCACAATGCAAATCAGATCACTCAAATCTCAGCAAAAAATACGATTATAAAAATGATTTGAAATGTTCATTTAGATTTGTTAGTAAAACAAAAATAAATATAATATTAAAATATAAATAATAAATATTTATTTTTAAATGCAACATTGAATTAGTGAACATTTACACGTTTTTGAACAATTACATTTTATGTATTTTCTTATTAAAGGGTTAGTTCACCCAACAATGAAAATTAGCCCACAAATTACTCACCCTCAAGTCATCCTAGGCGTATATGACTTTCTTCTTTCAGATGAATCCAGTCGGAGTTATATTAAAAATTGTCTTTGATTTTTCAAGCTGTTTAATGCCACTCAGCGGGTGTTGCATACATCAGTCCAAAAGAAGCGCAATGCTGAACTCATACGTCATCCGCGCGGAGCTGCGACTGTTGGCGCAAGCTACATTAAAGTGATTATTACATTTTGAATATGGATATTTTTCTTACAAAAACGCACCGATTCGCTACAGGAGGCCTTTGTTCACCCCCCGGAGCCGTGTGAGACACTTTTTTTATGGATGGGCGCTTTTTATTTAACTTCTTTTTGACTGATGCATGAAACACCCGCTGAGTGGCATTAAACAGCTTGAGAGACTGAACTCCGACTGGATTCGTCTGAAAGAAGAAAGTCATATACACCTAGGATGACTTGAGGGGGAGTAATTTGTGGGCTAATTTTCATTTTTGGGTGAACTAACCCTTTAAGTTTGTAGTTCTGCTGTTTTGGCTGATTTTTGCCTATGATCGACAGTCTATCCAGCTTCAATGGACAGCCTCTTCCCTCCATGGATGAATCATGCTATGGTTTGTTCTCTATAATTATAAGCTTTTAAAAATATGTCAATTAAATAATCTTCCTACGACCTTTTGATCCATTGACTGACTAATACCAGTGACTTTGTATGCTTGATTCATAGCACAATTTTGTTCTCCCAATCTTGTTTGGTGAGATCCTGCTGGAGCCACATATCTATCCTAAAACAAAGAATGGTTTAGCAGCTTTGGGATTTGTTAATCTTGCTTACTTAGGATGATGAGTTATGATTATGTGGGGAAGTGTGCTAGTTTTGAAACTATTTGCTTATGCTTTGGACACAACTAATATCTTTTTTTCTCTTTTAAGGTAGTTTGGGTGTATCCATCTTCTTCTTTCTTAACATGCTTGTGGTGGCGCTGCTGTACTTACTGGGACAAACTTTGAATAGTAATGTTTGGGGTGAGAAATATGCAGACTCATATTTCTGAGTTTTATTTTCATGATGTATTTTTATATATTGGAATATTTGTGAGGAATATTGATGCAGCTATGTCAAAACTTCACCAATACCAATATACCAATTAATATTTCCTTTTACTTTCACAGGGAAAGTACATCCAAAATTTACTAGAACATAATTTTACATGATTCCTGTGAATGTGTTCTAGTGAACTGGCCCTATGAATAGGCCTATCTGATATGAACCATTTCCAAGTTATCTGAATGGCGTCAATGCAGATGTCTGATGCTGCACATTTGTAATAAGTACACTTGCATTATCATAGTTTTGTGTGTGTGTGTGTGTATATATATATATATATATATATATATATATATATTTTTTTTTTTTTTAAATCTGTGACCACTTCTGCTAATGTAAATTTGAAACTATAATATGTATCAGATGTTATAGACATTTCTGGAAATTTGCAACTGATAATAAAACTAGTGTCCTCCAACATTTATTGAACAAGTTATTTAACAAAATCAAAAACTGCATAAGTGATAATAAATAGCTGTTTTATGAATTTGTATAAAGCTCAACATGACTTTGTTAAACTATTTATACATTATAGCTTTATATTGAAACATCTTAAACTGAATTGCTTCAGTTCCATTCAGGTCTCTAATTTAGAGAATTGTTCTTCATCATGGGAATCGGCGCTAGCAGGCCCGGATTGGCTAATCGGGAGCACCGGGAGGATTCCCGGTGGGCCGGTCTGTATTTTTGGCCGCGAGGGCCGGTGTTGTCATGCCACTGGGTTGAAATCTTTATACAGTCTATGGTTGAAATATGGATGCTGTCCCTAGACTGCCTGCACTCATAGCAGCCCCACTCTTTTTATTTATTATTTTCTCGCAGCCCATATTATTATTTTCACTAGACCATATCAATAACAAATTCTCAATTGATAATTAATCATTCTTTTTGCGCAAATCATTGTTTTATTTGTGAAGAAGCCGTATGCGGAAGGCTTTAAGACCAAGCGGAATCCTCCCGCTTCACAGCGAGCGGGTCTCGCGCTGACGGCAGTTCCCTTGACCGTCTGAGTTCTGATTTTGCCAAATCGGTTTGGGCCAATGCAAAAAATATGCATTTTCATTCATTCAAAGGCTATATGGTTGTAATGATATTTTAGTTCAAAACTTTAAGTGCCATTGTTAAAAATGCTTTATTGACTGACGTTTCATCAGTTGTTAGCTTTCAAATTTCATGCCATTTGTAATTTCACAGTATTTTCACCTCCTAAATTATATACACTTGTGATTTGTGAAGTCACAATTCTATATTGGTACAATTTACTTCATTGCTGATGACATTTTTTGTATGACATAAAAATTATTTTTAGAATAATTGTACACAAATTAAGCAAAACAATTGTGATTACAGCCTACATTATGGTACAGTACAAATATTTGGAGCGTCCCTTATTCTGTCCCTTATTTTCTTAAAGAATAAAAGATAAAGAATCACAATTGTCCCTTTTTTCTCCATTTCTGAAGTTAATTGGCAACCCTAATGATGACGTAATGATCTTACTCCCCTGACAGCGGCACCTTGCACCAAAAAAAAAGTGGGCCGGTCTAAGGCATGAAACTCCAGGGCTGAAAATGAGTCCCACTCCGGCCCTGGGTGCTAGTATCATATCATTTCTTCTCTGTCCATTTGAACGGAGTCTGTCAGAACAGATGATCCAGATGTGTGGGACATCATTTCAGGAAAAAGCGCTTCACAGTCTTTTAAAGGTTTGGGAGGACAACAATCTTTGCCATGTTACATGTTTCCTTGAATAACCAGTAACCGAAGTAAGAGAGAACCTTTATCAGGGTTAACGATCGGGAAGCGAGACTCATATAATCGTCTGAATGACTCTTCCCCTCTCAGGTTGAACTTCCTCTCAGATCTCTGTATTCTTTTATATGGTGCAGAGTGTTTGGATCTGCATCCACCAGCCCAACAGAGAGGAGTCTAATGATGAGGTGAAGTTCCTGATCATTCATTCTCCACTGCAGGAAAACAATCAGATGTCAACGTGTATCCTTCAGTCAGCGGTAAGAGAACGAGATATATTTTCACATATACAGCCATCTACCTTGTTTATGTAAAGCATATTTTTTTCTTGGAAGGCATTCTCAACTTTGGCATGTATCTGTGTCGGAGACAATACAGTCAATAAACACGTAAGACAACATTCAAACCGCTTTTGAGCAAAACAGCAGCATTAAAACACACAGTTTATCCACCTTAAAGGGATAGTTCACCCA